GCTGAGATACGTGATGATATTGATAGCAGGAGATCACAGAGGACAAAATTTCCATCCTCAAGATTAGCTGATTATGAAGTGTTTGCTGACAATGATGCAGCTGACCCTGGAGATCAAGCACACCTCGCGCTTCTTGCTGATGTAGAAATAATCTCTTGGAAATAAGCACTTGATGTAAATGAATGGAGAGAAGCCATGATTGAAGAATTAAAGGCTATTGAGAAAAACAGGACTTGGGAATTGGTAGAGTTACCTCAACATAAATAGGCAATTGAAGTAAAGTGGGTTTTCAAGACCAAGTATAAGCCAAATGGTGAAGTTGCTAAGCACAAAGCGAGACTCGTAGCAAAGGGATTTCTACAGAAGCCGGGGATAGATTTCACAGAAGTGTTTGCTCCAGTCGCAAGGTTGGAGACGGTGAGATTGATAGTAGCACTAGCAAATCTTAAAAGTTGGGAAATACATCAGCTAGATGTTAAATCAACATTTTTGAATGACCCTTTGAAGGAAGAAGTTTATGTCAGGAAACCACTTGGTTTCGAAAGGAAAGGTGAAGAACACAAGGTCTACAGGTTGAACAAAGCTTTGTATGGACTAAGGCAAGCACCACGAGCCTAGAATGATCACATCAACATGTTGCTTCTGAAACTTGGTTGTGTGAAGTGTTCAATGGAGTATGGAGTGTAAATAAAATCATCAGTACAACAAAATGTTCTGGTGGTATGTCTAGATGACATGCTAGTAACTAGAAATTCTAAAACAGGAATTGAAGAATTCAAGATTAGGATGAGGGCAGAATACGATATGACTGATCTTGGAAAACTTAACTACTTTCTTGGCCTGGAGTTTACTGAAACAACAAATGGAGTTTTATTGCACCAAAAGAGGTTCATCAGTGAAATTCTGAAGCGTTTTAATATGACCGAGTGTAATAGCACAACTGTCCCAGTTACTACTAATCTGAAGTTGACAAATCAACTTGATGAGAAAGGCGTGGATGCTTCACTGTACAAACAGATCGTTGGATCTTTGAGATATATCTGCAACAGCAAACCGGATATAAACTACGGGGTTGGATTACTGGGCAGGTTCATGAATGAACCTAGACAATCTCATATGTCAGCAACGAAACATGTTCTGAGGTACCTAAAAGGAACAATTGACTATGGTATTCTATTTCCAAAAGCAGCAAGCAACTTGAAGAGTACTCTAGAAGTCTAGAGTGATTCTGACTGGAGCGGAGATCAGGTTGATAGAAGAAGCACCTTCGGATACATCTTCAAATATGCAGGAGCGCCCATCTCCTGGTGTTAAAAAAAAGCAAAATGTGGTGACACTCTCTTCGTGTGAAGCAGAGTACATAGCCTCTGCAGAAACGACGTGTCAGTGCGTGTGGTTGGAAGTGCTTCTCGTGGACTTAAAGCTTGAATACAGAAGACCCGTGCAGTTGACGGTGGACAACCAGTCCGCAATCAGTTTGTCAAAGAACCCAGTGTTCCACGGAAGAAGCAAGCATATCAGTACAAAGTTCCACTTCCTGAGAGATTTAGTGAACCAAGGAAGAATTGAACTGGTTCACTGCTCGACTGAAGTACAAATTGTTGATATCTTCACAAAGGTCCTCAGGCAAAATAGGTTCGAGAAACTTAGAGAAATGTTGAATGTAAAGTCTTTCATTAGTTTAGTTTAAGGGGGCATGTTGTAGTAAACTAAAGCAACTGCTTTAACTGACGTGTGCCAGTTATATTGTGTCCTATGCACCACTTATATACCCTCTTGCTACTCTTACCTTTTTAAATATATGTTTTTATATTTTCCCTTCTATTCTCTGCTCTATCTCTCTTACTCTTTGCACCACGCTTAAGTTCGCATATCCAGCGTCAGCCACGCTAACATATTCTTAGTTATTATAATTTAATGATAAGATATCTATGATTTAGTGTTAAATTAGTTTTGAAAATTAAATTTTAATTTTATGGGATATAATTGTTTACTTTTTGTATGTATGAGTTCATCATTTATCTCTTTATTTACTTTCTTTTCATATATGAATTTGTATTTTGTATATTTTGATAATTCCTAGTAGAATCAATAATTGGAGTTCTTCCTTCCTGCCTTTAAGCTTCCTTGGGAAGTAAAATAAAAAGGTCTTATTAATAAAGGAAAAAGAGACAAAAGAATTATTATTCTTAAATAAAAAGGCATAAGCAAGTTATCCGTTTGTCGCGATATATTTTGGGAATCTTATCAATTTCTTTAAATGATTATTTTAATGTCATGTAAGAAAATTCTGCAAACTTTCCTTATAATTGACTTTATCTTCTAAATAATTTTATATAAAACATTAGCTACTCCTTGTAAAAAATCTTCTTTCCGGACAAATTTCAAAGTTGGATCATTTAATCATTAATGTTTACCTTAACTTAAGTGAATTATCAGATAAAACTTATCAAATTTTTTTAAACTAAACTACTTTACTCTTCTATTATGAAGATTAAAAAAAATCCAGCATCAAAAAATTAGAAACAAAATTATTTATATATTTTTTAGATTTAGTCTCAATCATATACATCAACTTCTTAATCTAAAAAGTAAAAGTAAAAGATAAAACAAAATTTACTATAATTATTCATCTTTCAAATAATCTATATAACTATACAATAAATGTGGTCCCCTTAATCAGAATAATTAAAATTATAAAAATCTCATGAGCCTTTTAATTGGGAAATCCAACCAAATGGACTTTTCCTTCCTTGATCACATTTATTTTTGTCTTAAGCTTGTTTAATTTATCTATGAATAAAAAATGTAGTTGGGTGATTTTTTTTTCTTTCACCCGTTGTCATAAGAGTGAAACTAGATACACTATCACTTAACGGAAATGAGCTAAAGAAGATATCTCATTTAAATACATAATTAAGTATATACGATCAAAAGAGATGTGGCAGGTAAATTTGATTTATTAAATTAAAATGGAAATTACTATAATGTAAAGTATTTTATTCTTTTTTATTATTTTTCTGTGTTTTTAAATCAAACCATTATTATTTATAAATCAATTTTAAGAAAAAATATATTTAGAAAGGAAAATTGTACTATTGATGACAACATCTTATATGTCAACCCAACTATTATTCTACGTCCACAAACAATATGAGGTAGGACACTCAGATTGAACAAACATTTAGTTGGAACATACAATCATTACTTCACTTATCAATTTTTGGGTCATGACGACATTATGCTATCTTAGAACTTTACAATTTTCTTAATCATTATTTCAAAAATGTTTTTCTTAAGATTTTCATTGATTTTATTCACTAATCATGTATATAACATATATATAGTAACTGATTCATGATTTAACAATTGAAATAGATTCTCTAATATTCTAGGTGATAAAACATATTTACTTCTCACTTAAAAACTAAAATCTAATTAAAACTTACTAACAAAGTAAATATTTATCATGCTTTGATTTAATAATAGATGACCAAATATATATATATATATATATATATATATATATATATATATATATATATATAATCATTTTTTGATAATAACTGTTATTTGATGAGTCTAGCATAATAATAGAATTTATATTTATATAAATTATTATGATCTTTTCCATGATAAATATGTATATTTTTCTATCTTAAATTCATCCAATAAAAGAGATGTAGAATAATGAGTCATAGAAAGTAAATCTTAAATCATTATTTTTCTAATTGGATTCCAGAACACTTAAGAACAATCTCTATAGTGCTAAAGAATAATTCATTTTAGATTTTTTCATATTTAGAAAAGCATGGTTTTGATAAAATGAAGCAATATTTTAAGATGGAAAAAAGCACGAGGCACATTGAAGGAAGCAAGTAAAGGTGATTTATGATTGAGCTCATTCATTATGATTTCAATGTATTGAAAATGAAAAGGTATGCATCCGTACACATTCACTTTAAGAACAAACCCACTTTAGAAGAATATTTTATATGGAAAAAAAAAAAGAGAGAAGATTGGGTAATAAATTGTTGGAGACACACTAGTATTTGGGTGTTGTCGTGTAGTTAGGCTTATGAAGGAAACACACGAGTCCAAAGTCTAGCAGACAAGAAATTGCCTAACATTATCTTGTGTGTGATGAGGTCCCATCAATTACCAAGTCTTCTAAATCTTTTCCTCAGAAAGGACTATGCAGTTTTTAAATTCATCTCAAACAACTTGCACTCAGTGTGCACACATGAATCAGTAACAACCCCATTACCACATAAAAGAAACAACTTTTCTTTGCCCAAGGAACACAATCTGGAACCAAATTTTCAGTACTGCTCTACTCTTTATACTTCTCACATATCACTCAGTTTTTCACATTAGATGATAAAATTCAAAGACTAAGTGAAAGTCTCGTATTCTATAAAAATAAAAAAATAGAACATTATATAAAGATGAAAAGTCATTAATTTATTGTCTTAAGATTTTGGACAAAGAAGAGTATTAAGATTTTGTGATTTTAAGAAAACATACTCCATGCTGAGGGAATACTGACTAAATGTTGAGTCTATTGAGAAGGAGATTCTATGTGGGTTACACAAACACCAATAACATTGGAGCCAATCATATAAAGGATTGACACCACTCTTTACCCAAAACTTTAAGGTAATAGATTAATGGATCTTTCATCTTTATATACTGTTCTATTTTTTCATTTCTATCTAAAGTAAAACTTGGACTCACACTTGGATTTTCAACAGAAAAGTGCCATGGATGTGATGCTCTTATAAGGTGGTGGTGCATTTTCTTTTCTTTCCAGAACGAGGTTAAGAATAACATCATTTTCAAAAACAGGAATATGGGTGAAGAAGAACCTTAACCATTTTGATTTGATGTAGTCTTTTGACAATCGGCATTCGTTGTATGCTTAAATTCCCATGTAGTGCCAAATAGTACTAGGTTATGCCTTTACAATAGGTTTGAAAATAATATGTTGGACAAGAAAGTAAATTAAGAAGCACAACATAAAACTCACTCTACCTATTTACAGAAAGGGACTCTCAGAAGTGGGAGTATATAAGTTATCCATTTATTGGAATAAAGTGAAAGAAAAAACTAATCTAGGAATCTGAACACATGAACCATAAAAATTCAGTGGTCCATGTAGAGTTGAGATGAAGGATCCATGATATAATCAAAGAGGTTAAACTCTCCTATTTAAGCTTTAAACCTTGAGAAAGCCAATGTGGCCCCTTTCTCTCTTGATCAAATGTCACACTTGAGCTGCTCATGGGTGTGGTGGGGTCACTGCAATCTCCCACCCTATCTGATTGGAAAGAGACAGAAGAATTTAGCTCCCTAGTTTTCCCATTGGGTGAGTCTGAGCACCCTAATGGGAGCAGATAAGGTTTCTTACTGTTACTGTTATTATTATTATTATTATTACTATTAGTATTCTTAACTTGGCTTCCTCCTATGCTTAAAGTCAAATCCACTTCCATGTCTTCATCACACCCTTTGCTGCTTATTTTACACCTCTCAAGTGCAGTGTAGGAGCTAGGTCCTGCCTCATTCTCTTCACACCCTCCAAAAATGTCTCTCTCAGCAGGCCTTTGAAGGTCAAAACCCCTTTGCCTCTTCATGCTCTCACCAGAACAGCTTCCACTCCTTTCCTTTGAGCATAGCTCCTCTCTCAAACTCTGGACACGGAAATCAGCTCCATATGAAATCAGTGCTGCAGTAGTTTGCTGCTGCTTCTGCTGTTGTTGAAGGAAATGAGAATGACTCATGTCTATGCCATTCATTGGAGTCCAAAACTTCGTTTGTTTGGTTTCCTTTCTTAGGTCATCCATCAGCATCTTTTGCACACTGTATACCCTGTGTAGCTCCCTTACCTGCAAATTCCAAACACTCATCATTATTTGCCAACTAGTAATAGCTTCAAATCTCAGCATGCCATGTTGTCCCTTAAGAATATCCTTGAGATGTGAAAGAGTTTTCAACAAAATAATGTTATATATGGTGTCTGTTAGGAATTGTGAACAACATACAATTATTAAGACTTGGAGAATTATTAAAATCTGGCCATGGATACAGTACAGATGTCACACAATGCAAGACATCTTACATTGATTTTGACATCAGCATGGCCACGGTCAAAAGAATAATGATTGCACACTACTACCAATTTTTTTGTACAGTGCCCTCTTAAGTCCAAAGATTAATAAAAGGTGAAAGTCTCTCATTCAGTTGGATTGAAATCACATGTCCCTCTTCTTCCTCATTTCACATCCCCCAATCAAAAAGTAGTAACACACGGTTAAAAAAGTAATACTCTTGACAGTTCTTGTTCCCTTTCACATGCCACTTTTTAATCGGGGTAAAAGGAAAGATGGATATGTACTTTGGTTTCAATTGTGTTGGGGCCTTCGAGTTTGGTTTGAGAACTTTTTCTATAACATTTTAACTAAAGAAAATGTCACTTCATTCTTATTTAAAAAAGTGAATACATAAAATAGAGAAAAACAATGAAATAAAATAGTTATAAACCCATTAACTCAACCAATGTGTGACATTAATGTGTAATTCTGACACATTTAATCAGGAATGAACATGAACTTAGAACCAAAGCAAGTCTTTTGATCACCCTATGACATTTTCTTCATGCTGTGTGTAACATTTCTGCTACAAATTGAATGACAATCTGAATTTTGTACTGTTAAGATGAGAAGATGAAGATCGCAACATGGATGTGATACCTGCTGTTTGAAGATGTCCTCGTGCATCTGCATGGTCCTTTTGATGGACTCTATGTTGTTTCTGTCAAGCACCCTATCCATGGGATCTTGCAATTTATTAATGCCAAGACTGAAATGGTTGTTAGTCACTCCTTTGTTCTGATAGTGCTCCCAGACATCCACACCACCCACAATGAAGTTGTTGCTGTCTACTGAGGATGCTAGAAGATTTCTGGAATATTCAATTTTAGTTCCCATGCCTGTAAAAGAAATGGTACTTTTTTAGATTTTTTTTGTCACCACTATCAGAGTTCAAAACTTATGTGCCTAGTGACTGCTGAGTAATGGCATCAACAATTGGAAAATTGGCTTTTATCATGCATATCCCTAACAACAATGAATGAAACCTGTTATTTCTTTTTCTGCTTCAAGTGGTAGTTAATAATCTCAAGAAACATCAAAGACTAATTGAAGAAACTAAGGAATTCACATATGGAAAATCGAAATTCCAAAGAATTAGTCATAATTAGGCTTTGTATCATGAGCAAACATTAAATTGCAAGTTTCTGCTGGCTCCTTTTTAGGTGCAAAGATATAGAGCCATATCTTGCAAAGGTACTACTTTGATGTCTGAATAAATTTGTCGAAACAGGGGCAACTTTCCTAACCAAAAGTACAGAGGGGACAGAGAATTTGCGTAGCAAGGTTCAAAAGTGTCAACAAACATTGCCATTATGCCGAAGAAGTATGAAATAATGAACATCTGATGTAGGCATTTAGGTGGGTCTGTGTTTGGGATGAAAGCATCACTACCACCACCGAGACCAGGACCATATCATTGATCTCTTGATTTACTATTCTTAGAAATTAGGCACAGAAAAGTGTTCATTTCAAATTGTTCCTTATAAAGCTATGATCAGTGAAAAGGAAAGGAAAATAAAGCCAAAAAGACCACAACCAAACTTTTATATCTAAAGAAGCTCAAATAGAGACTCGGAAAGGAGTTCAAGAAAATCAAAAGAACACCCCATTCACACAAAAACAAGGATTTTAAATGTCAAGACATGAACAGGTAAAAAAAAATCACATGCACGGTCACCATGGATGGACATGAACACCACTTTAAGAGCAATCAAAGCAATCAAAGCAATCAGAAATAGTCTGCAACCTTCTCAGTTGATGAAACACTCAAGAAGCATTAAATCTGGGAACTGCAACACCTTCTCTCACCTTATTTCTTTGGAGACTGAGACTCCAACCCAAAGGAAAAAAATACCAAAAACAAGACTTATACCACAAGGGGTTGATATCTGTTTAAAGTTGATGTAAAAGATCACCTGTTGTGAGTAGTACCAAAATTGCAGCTTTCTGTGATGAATTTCATTGAGCATCTTCCTCCCTCATGCCAGCATTTTTTCCCATAGGTTAGTCTTACTACTAATTAAACCAATACTAACAAAAAAAGAGGCAAATTCTGTCATGGTTCTCGTTGAGTCATGATTGAAGGGGAAATTAAAGGAAGGATGAATCCAAGTGGAGAGCAGCACCTATGGAATTGGGAGAAAGTTCATGGTAACACAAAAAATCTCTTTGGCTGTTGAATTCAACCCTTTACTTGGAGAGAAGAAAGAAAGCAGCTCAAATTTTAAAACAAGAATGATGGGGTTAATAATTAGGCTTGACAGGCTGTGAGAGAGGGAAGCAAGGGAAAAGCTGGAACTGCAATGTGTCTGTATATGTGTGAGTGCTTGAATGATTTTGAGAGAGAGAGAGAAAGGGAAGAGGGGATGATATAATATGAATATTTTGTATTTGTGAACATATACTTTAATTTAATGTATTTTGTATATATGTAGTTCACTGTAATGTGGGAAAGGATAGGGAGTGGGGACCACAAAGTTGCATAATAAAAACAAATGACACTCCTAAACATGAGCCAATGTAGGCCAGTGAACAAGATATTCCAGACAAAGTCTTGCAGGGCTTAATCAAGATATGCATGAACAATGAAAGTTAGTGCTTCTTTCCTACAGGACCTACCACCTATTTCTCCCTTTAAAATTTGCTTGTTTTTGGATATTCAACGATTGAGATTTGATTATTCTTTCCGTACATGCAGAACAATATCTAGAGATCTGTTATGTTTGAGATTTCACCAGAGTGTACCAATTTCAGTTCAGGTGGGTGGTCATTGGGATTCCATGTGTGCTGTTTTGCTAGTGAAATTTTCTCTTTGCTGCAGTAAATTCCATTGGCTTGGGATTTGAAACTGATAATGACTGCTTCCATGGAGAGAAGATAAGTGAATAAGGGACACACACACACACATGCTCTCTTGTTCTCTTCTGACCTTCAAGAATCCTGCACTCTGCATATGTTCTAAAATATCTAAAAACTTGATTATAAAGAAATTGACAGAGTTTTAATCTCTGTAAGAAAAACATTCTTTTGTTTGGAGTATGAAATTGGGAATAAAGTGAAATGCAGAGATATTTAAAAATGTATTTTATTTGAGCCATAAAAGGGAAGAAAAATGGAGCTTTCTAATGACTGATAAATATATATATATTCCCTAGGTTTCATTCTCTGGTTGATGGTTAGTGCATGGCAATTCGAGTTTGTTCTCCTGGAAAAGCAGCTTGTTTTTTTCCCTATGTCAACCTTAAATAAAGTTATGCAATTCGATTATTCTGTTGAATTTTCCGAAGCCAAATAAGAGGAAAATAATAATTTTGTTTGAAAATGGAAAAGTGTTTGGTGAGTTTTATGTGCTTGTTGAGGCAAATAATTTAGATGTGTGGAGTGGAAAAAGAAAGCATGATGTGTGGTGCTTTCAATGGGTGTTCCCACGTCACTTGTGTCCCATCTCCACTCTTTCAGTGCATTTTTTCCTTATGTTTTTTTTATCACTAGTTAAATATTTTACTTTTAATATTTTTAAAACATCTTTTATCAAATAAGTATTTTATCTAATGTAGAATTTTGTTTCTATTCTAACAAGTAAAAAAAATATGGATTTTTTTATTTTGTTAAAATAAATAAATAAATAAATAAATAAATAAAATTATATTAAATTAAATATAAAAAATTTATGTTTATCAGAATATTTCTTTTTCTTACACATAAATTTTTAAGAGAAAAAAAAAGTAGAAGAGTGCTAAGGAATGAATTGATATCTAAATGGAAACTTGAAGTTTGTATTTATGAGTTGTCAGTAATAACTGCACGAAACATAAAGAATTGAGATGGAAGGACGAGAAACTGCTTCCCAACCAATGGATAATTTTTTCCCACAGGTCAAGGTCAAAGTAGTTATTTCCAGGAACATCATAATCTTCATGCCCTTTGGTTTATTAATCTTCATAGTTTCTGTCATGCTATCTATTTTACTGCTTATTGGATTTGATTTTGAACATCATAGTTTCTTGTTTCTTGTTTCTCAGATGTTGTTTTTTGTGAAAGTAAATGGAAAAGTTGTGTTCAAGAATCCAAAAATAATGGCACAGAGATTCATGTGATGATGATTAAGAAATGCATAGATTTTGGTATTTAAACGTATGTATATGTGTGTGGTGTTTTGTTTTTTAGTTGGTATTCAAACACTGTTGCTAACTTTGGCCTATAGTTTCACACAAAACAATGCACACGCGTGCTATATACTATATACATTTCTTCTTTAAATTTCCATTTACTTATCTTATAATAAGTTTTCTTGTAATCATTTTTCATAAGTCAGTTTTGTTTCCTATTAAATCGAATAACTATAAAAAGAAGACTCGCATATTTATTTGTAAGATTTTAGATTAAAAATAATATCTGTGTTAGATTTCTCAATATTTTTTCTAATGAAAAAAACTCACAAATATGTCAATAATTTCAAATCAACTATAAATAAAACTAATTTACTTTATATAACAATCACCTTAAAAAAATTCTAGTGATTTTTATTTTATTATAAAAAAAATTTATCAATATTTTTATCTCATACACATATTATTAAATAAATAAATATATGACTTTTCTAAAAGAACTTCTTTTATTTTAGAGATATTTAATACAAATTATTTTATTCAATTAAAAAATGTTCTTTTACACCTCTGTAACTCATACGTCATCTACATGATAAAGAAAAATGGTACTATATAGGATATTAATTAGATTTTACCTGAATAATATCCAACAGATAATTTTTTATCAATTCACGTACCTAAACTTAGAATTAATATTTGTCTTACGTACATTTTTATCTCTAAATTTTAGAAATGAATAAATATTATCCTTTTTAGTTTAATGATATTAATTCTTTTTATATATTAAAACATTTTTTAAGTTGACAATTAAACTTGAATATATATATATATATATATTTGTTATATAAAAAATTTAATAAAGTTTGATTATATTCATTTATTTTTAAAATTTTAAAAATCAAATATATTAAACATTAATAGAGATTAAAAATATATTTAGTCTTGATTTTAATAATTAAATCTCATCGCCCTTTACTAAGCTATCCATCGTGTTGAAGAAATTTTGAGATTAAATAAATGTTGGCAGAATTTCAGATGATTAAACCAGTCAAACTTATTGATAGATGGCTAATTAATTATTAATTCTATATCTTCAATCCTATGTTACTTCATTTGGAATCAAAATGACATACTTTTAAAACAAGTCTCTGTTGCTTAAGGAAGGATTACAGTCTTTATTTTGGCCCTCCAAAAAGAAAAATATTTACTGATAATATTTTTAAAAATAAAATATCAATTTCTTCACAAATACATTTATTTTGAAGAATTAATAAATAATATTAATAATATTAGGAAAGTTAACTACTTTTCTTAAAGAGAAACTCCTCGTTCTTGTTTACTTCTTTCTATCAAAAAGTCAAACAATCTTTTAATTTCTTCCTTTATTACAAAAGGGAAAGACATTTTTAATTTGTAAAATAATCTAAAAGTCAGTTCTAACTTTTTTTATTTTATCTATAAATCATTTAAGAAAAACTTGTCCAAGTATTTGTACTATGAGATTATTGTTTGTCTAAAAGGTTTACCAAACATAAAATTGAATATGTTATTTTTAACTAAACAAATAATCCCATAACATGTAAATATAAAATGTTTATTATTATATCCTCCAATAAACTATTATAATCTTATTTTTGTTTTCTAATGCAAGATTTTTTGAGACAATATTAATAAATCATACACAAATCTATATAAGATCATAATATCATTTTCAATCTAAACTTTAAAATAATAAATTTATGCATCTTTTACTTATATATTAATTATCTTACTTATTTTTTACTTAATGTAAACTTTTAATATCTAAAATATTTAAAAGGAGGATATATACATTTGATCATGATTTGGTAATTTTAGCAAAAAGGGGTTGCAAATAAATTAATGTAGGATGAATTGAGGCACATATGATTGGTTGAAGATGCATATGGAAGGTTATGTGAAAGGTTTATTCTTGTATTCTTGGGATTGTTGAATTAATATGTGAAATTAATTAGATTGGTTGAAGAAGAAAGAGTATAATAATATTAGGAAGTTGATGTGTCTAGGTTGGCCACGTGAAGCATCCACATGATCAATGGACCTAACAATCAACAACACCAAAACAGCACAGAGAGATTCAATCATGCATTGTTGCACAAAACAACACACCAAAACCCTAAAAATATCTCAATCATATCACTATCTATTTTCTTGGAGGATCGATCCATATGTGATGTTATTAACTATGTCAACATGTTGTCATTTTCTAGGAAAATTGTGTAATACGAGAAAGAGCCATGCCTCTGACCAATCACCAAGGAGCACAAATAATCAAAAACAAAATTTAATGTCAAAATCAAAGTTCAACAATTATATACACATATAAAAAATAGCTTCGATATATGATGTCATGAATTTGGTAAATAAATACCTTTTTTTATTAGTTTGGCCACATTTAAAAAATAACGACTTAACTTTTTTTTCTTAAAGATGGGGTTTTAATTAAAGTGGTGTTGATTTTTCTCATCCCATTTCGGGTTTAAATTTTTTGAATAAAAAATGCTATTAAAACGAAAATTTTATTATAAAGACTAATCAAGTTTTCCAAGAAATAAAAAACTGATCATCGTTTGAAACTATTGCATATTCTATATCAATAATATAAATGCTTTGTGTATTTGTGAAATATCACAATGTATTCATAAATAAATATATATATTCCGTACAGAAATCTTCTTGGTCTGAACTATTTAGAGCAAACGATTATATTAAAGGGGTTTATAAGTATTCATCTAGGAATATATGTCTCAAAAATTAAATATTTAAAATTGTTTCTGAAAATTATAATGAAATAATTTTATGTTTATGATGTAATAAAAAAGTTATAAATAAAATAAATTTTCTGCTTAAACTTGGGCAAGCCACCAATGCATAATCTAAAACCATATAATTTTTATTCTTATTTGAAATCAGATGTATTAGTTAAGAGAATAAAGAATAATATTATTTTAACAACTTTCAAAAATTAGTTTACATGAAAATTAATTTAAAGTTATTTATTTCTTGTAAACATTTTGTGTAGAAAATTTACCTAGGTAGGGTTGAATTTATTTAATGAAAAGGAAAGGGTAGGGATATGTGAGAATGAGGAAGTGAAAAAATGATGAAAAAAAAAAGGTGTGATAAAAGGTAATTAGGGTTTGTAAAGTGGTCCATGTTGTAAGAACACTATGGAGAAAATGTGTTGAGGGATAAGATGGGAAAGGACA